GTCAGCAAACGACGGGAAGAGAAGAACTAAATCCAGACCAGACAGGTGATGGTGGTGATGGTGGTGATGGTGGCGATGGTGGTGATGGTGAGAGTGTAAGACCAATCCTTGAAGGATGTGTCAACCGTGTCAACACTCGTGAACGGAGTTGGCAACAAAACATCCCAATGCAGGACCACCAGGAGGGTTCGCTCAATGTCGAGTTGCCAGCGACGATTCTGGCCGCCTTCCCAGCGCGCCTCTGTGGTTTTGCCGCCGCAGGAGCGGTGCGAGATGCAGTTTGCGTACTGCCTGCATGTCGGAATTCTTTCGCACCGTGCGTAGCCGACCGCGCCAGCCGGAGGTGCGGGAGTCGACCGTGGGAGCTGTGGAGGTGGCAACTGCCGCATCCAGCAGAAGGAAGGAAGCGAGGACGAGAAGCGCTGGCGTCAACGGCATCGGTCAGGTTGACCTTGTGACCTGGGGAATGGGATGCCCCGGGGAGGAACACGGAAACACGGGGAATGCCCCGCCCCCCACCCATCCTGACCCCCACCCCCTGGCGCGTGAAGCCGAACCGTGACCCACGGTGGTTGTTCTGTTGTCTCCGAGTCCACCCACGGGCGTAGAGTCCACCCACGGACATAGAGTTCACCCACGGGCGTAGAGTCCACCCACGGACATAGAGTTCACCCACGGACATGAGTCCACCCACGGACGTAGAGTCCACCCACGGACATAGAGTCCACCCACGGACATAGAGTCCACCCACGGGCGTAGAGTCCACCCACGGGTATAGAGTCCACCCACGGACATAGAGTCCACCCACGGACATAGAGTCCACCCACGGGTATAGAGTCCACCCACGGACATAGAGTCCACCCACGGACATAGAGTCCACCCAGGTTCCGCAGCATTTATTGAAGACAAGGATAGCTCTGGACCACTTCCGACACGCAGTGTCTCATCATCAGCAGTGTCTCATCATCAGCAGTGTCTCATCATCAGCAGTGTCTCATCATCAGCAGTGTCTCATCATCAGCAGAGTCGGGCTCGCTTGAGTCAATGATGCTCAACTGCCGGTCGTGCAGGCAAGGATGATCCTCTCCCTCTACGCCATGGGGTCCTCGTTCGACGCAAAATGATAAGGGTGATACAACCACTCCAAATCAATACATGAATGTATGCGAGGAGATGTGAGCGAAATTACGAATGCTTTGAATGAATGAATTCCATAGATGAATTAATTACTGAACGACGATCGTCGAGTGCGAGATGCGGGTGTGCGAGTGGGTGACTGCACGGGCAGCAGCGGCAGGCCGCGTGCCGCCTGCAGCCCCAGCACAAGGGACACGCCCTCTGTGGGGCCGAGATGCGTGGGGGCGGGGGGGTCCGGGCCACGTGGGTCGCGGCGCGCGCCCCAACCCGCAGACCGACGCAGGCGAGCTCGGGCCCCGGGTCCCCTCGAGGAGTCAACGCAGCGGGGCGTGCGCACGTGACACTGGGCTGTGTGACACGGACGTGACCCGTCGACACACACAGTCCGTGTTATCGATTTGCGTGGAGGGAGGGGGGGGGCACGTGGGAAGGAGACGAGCGCGTCATTTGCTTGCAATGCGCAAGGGCGTTTCATTCGACCAGATCGTTCACCCCGGATCCCCTTTGGATCTGGTTCCCGGAGTCAGGGGTTCGCGTCTGCGCTACCTGTGCAGGTGCGTAGTGAGATCGGCCCGAGGGGAGGCGGCGGGTGCACGGGGGGTGGGGGAGGAGGGGGCTGACCGACCCCCGACACCCCTCGATCATCGCTGTGCTTTGTTCAATTCCTTATTGCGTGTGGATGAGCTATCCACGATCTATCTCGTGCTGGACGGAGGCCTCTTCCCCGAGCAGTTGCTGAAATGCAACAATCCACTCAGCAGCACCTGCTCTGGACACACGCGGAGGGAATGTCATCGCTCCGTCTCCTCCGCGACTGACGTCCTCCCCTCGGCAGCCCCTCCCGTCGTGATTCTCCACCTTCGAGCCATCACGCGTCGTGATTGTCTCAGCAGTTGAGATGAAGTCATTCGCCTGCGTGTGATCTCTAATCCACGCGTTTCTCTCTCGCTCTCTCTGCCTCTCCGTGTCATCCCCAGCACGCGTCCCTCCGCACTGCCAGGGACAATGTTCACTCTCTGTTCCGTAAGCGTGGCGGGGTAATTAGCGATGGGTATCTCGTGCGAATTGAGCCAAACCCAGTGACATCAACTCCCAACACATACACACCCTGCCTTCTTCTGTAACTCTCTACATCTGTCCACCCCCCCCCCCTCCACCAGTAGTTTGAATGATTTTATTTGCCGATGAAGACACCACAAACTGTGAAGAGAAGCGCGCAGCGCGTTGGCAGGACGCGCCACGACGAGCCGAGGGCACGATGGCCGGCGTGGTCTCGCGGCTGATATCGGAGTGGAAGTCAAGGAATTATAATGGTGGTGATGGTAATGATGACGATGGTGATGATAACGTTGGTAATGATGGTAATGATGGCTATGGTGATAACGTTGGTAATGATGGTGGTGGTGATAGTCATACCGAGTGGGGATACGCAACTCTCAGCCTTGTTGGCTAAGTCTATGCATGACGGTGTGTGTGAATCCGCTGTGTGGGGAGCGGTGTTGCACTCCGAACCCAGCGCCCTCCGCTCATGGCCGGACCACAGTGACGATTATTCAAACAAAGTCCTGGGCCTCCCCTAGGTCGACTGAGACTCAAATGAGTCCCTAGTGCGGTGTCTCTTCCACTAGAAAGACAAAGGCGGCCGGGCGTTGTTACTGGGCCACCCACCCCCTCGTGTTCCGTGTGGGGCCTTCCGAGGTGTTCGCTAACAGCACTTGGCCCAAAAGTCTGTTTAGGCAATGATGGGGGTGGAATCTTTGTCTACATACCCCGTACAGCCAGGAATATGCCGGATCTCTAAAGCTAAGCAGGTTTCAGCCTGGACGGTGCTTGTATCGGCGACCGCCATGCATAATAGGTGCTATAGGCCACGGACTGCATGACTGACTGGCATCAGGGGACCGGCGCAGCAAAACAAATACATTGTTGTACAGGACTGTACGTCTATGCTTCCGCGGCTGTTTATCTCCGCTGTCCTCCGACCGATGCTGACCGGCGTGGTGAAGTATGGTCGAATAACCCCCGCTCAGCATGGGGGAGGCACCCCATCCAGCAGTGGAGTGACAGAGGGGGCTGCGCATGAATGAGGACTCCCCGCTCGCGTGAGTGAAGCCACGGGCTTGCCGTACTTTTATTTTAACTGTAAATCGCGGTTAGCTTTAGCTGGGTTGCCCAAAGGTCCCCCAAACGCCAAGCGGCCAGCAACAAACCGCACCATCAGAGCTGTAAGAGAAGAGAGTTCACCTCGGTGAGATGGAAACATCAGGGATCATGAGGATCGGGGAGGGGCGTGAGGGTTGGGGCTGCCTGGTGAGGGAGGGATGATCAAAGGGGGAGGGGGGGTCAATAGATGGGGATGGTGGAATTGACCCCCCCCCGCTCCCCGTCCCCTACTGGAAACTTTACTCCGGCTTCTGTAGAAAATAATGATTACGACTCTGCAGCGAGATCAGCTCCCAGCTTTCGCCGTGGATTTCGCAGCGAGACGCCGCCCTTCATCACGGCGACCGGCTGCAGCTGCCTGCATCTGTTTTATGTGTGAAGGTGGAGGTGGTGGGGAGCGGTGGTGGTGGGGGGAGTGGGGAGGGGTGGTGGGGAGGGGTGGTGGGGGGAGTGGGGAGGGGTGGTGGGGGGAGTGGGGAAACCGCCCCGACCTGCGTCAGTGCGCGGCTCCTCCGCACTCACTGCCACCTCTCCCGCTCACTCAGCGACAACAGAGTCCGGCCTCTCTGCCCGTCAAGTCTCTGGGTGTCTGTGGGGCAGGCTGCAGCGGGCAGACCTGTACAGTGTGGAAGGTTTCCGACAAACAAAAGTGGGGGTAGAGGGGAGATTGTGCGCGTACGGGACACGGGGGAGGGGGGGGGGGCGTAGTGGTGGGGGGTGATGAGTGTGACGATGCGGTAGGGGGATGAGGTGGGGGAAGATTGTTGGTATTTGGGCTTCCGCAGATTTCTATTTTCACGCTGCTCATTAACCTGTGGAGAAACTGTTGACATCCATCGTCCCCTCGTCTCCCCCCACCCCTCCCTCCGTCTCCCCCCACCCCTCCCCCCGTCTCCCCCCACCCCTCCCTCCGTCTCCCCCCACCCCTCCCTCCGTCTCCCCCCGCCCCTCCCCCCGTCTCCCCCCACCCTTCCCTCCGTCTCCCCCCACCCCTCCCTCCGTCTCCCCCCACCCCTCCCCTCGTCTCCCCCCACCCATCCCTCCATCTCCCCCCACCCCTCCCCCCCGTCTCCCCCCACCCATCCCTCCGTCTCCCCCCACCCCTCCCCTCGTCTACCCCCACCCCTCCCTCAGTCTCCCCCCACCCATCCCTCCGTCTCCCCCCCACCCCTCCCCTCATCTACCCCCACCCATCCCTCCGTCTCCCCCCACCCCTCCCTCCGTCTCCCCCCACCCCTCCCTCCGTCTCCCCCCACCCCTCGTCTCCCCCCACCCCTCCCTCCGTCTCCCCCCACCCCTCCCCTCGTCTCCCCCCACCCCTCCCTCCGTCTCCCCCACCCCTCCCTCCGTCTCCCCCCACCCCTCCCTCCGTCTCCCCCCACCCTCCCTCCGTCTCCCCCCACCCCTCCCTCCGTCTCCCCCCACCCTCCCTCCGTCTCCCCCCCGCCGCTCCACCCCTCCATGACCCCACCTCTTCTAGGCTACATTTGTATTTTTCATTCCTGTTCTGCTTCATGGCAAAGCCAGACGCCGTGGGTTCACGAAATGAGAAATCTGTGAAATATTCACGAACAAGGGACTTGGGGAACTTCCAAGCGGCTTGGAAGAATGGGGGGGAGGGGGGGGCGTTCCGTGGCGTGGAGGAGGGGGGGGGGCTGGAGGTGCGGAGGGTGAGGGGGGGGGGGTTGGGGAGGGGCGTCTCTTAGAATCAGAATATTTATTTATACTGGAGAAGTCCGATGAGCTATAAAGCTCTTTTTCACATATGTTCAGTATTTCACAGATGCCCAGATGTTATCCATCCCAGGATCAGTGTTTGGTGGTGGTGAGGGGGTGATGGGGGGCACACTATCAGTGATGTGGGGTAAGCAGGTAGGGTCCCCCAGGTGAGATTCCCCAGGTGAGGTTTCACACTCAGTCCACGTGAAGCACAATAACCGAGCACCAGGAAGTCTCAGGGATCTCTTGATCAGTGCCTGCCTCATGCACTCATGTCCAGAAGCTTTGCTGCGCTTATGATGATGGTGGTCGTGATAATGATCGTGGAGATGATGACGATGTTGCTGCTGCTGTAGCCCTGGGTAGTTCTCTCTTGGGCGGAGAAGCTGCCAGAACCTCAAATACTTCGCCATGTGAAACGCGTTGTGTTTTTGTTGGGAAGAGAAGTCCTGGCTGGATTTGGATACCGTGGCTCCAGAAGGCCCCGAGCAGGCTCCGGGAAGATCTCGGAAGCTGCGGGAGACACGGGAGTGGGGGGACGACGGTGGGAGGCAGTGGCAGGAGTTGAGGGGTGCTGGGAGACGCAGGGAGGAGGAGGAGGACCCAGGGCCGCCCGGGGCCCCCGTGTGGAGCTGCACTTGTTTTTCTTACCGTTTTGCTTCATCCGGCTTCTCTGCTGCCGCTCGCTGCTGCTGCTGCTGGTGCCGCCCAGGAGCCGCGCGGTGCTTCGTGGAGTCGAATTCCCCGTGGCCTCTGGGGAGCGTGAGAGCGAATGCGCGAGAGTGCGTGTGAGAGTGAGGGAGGGTGATAGTTGCGTGCGAGTTGTGCGAGAGGGCGAGTGGAGAGGTCGAGTGAGAGAGCGAGGGTGCGAGTGAGCGCGATGGTTGTGTGAGAATTGTGTGCGGGCGAATGTGACAGAGTGAGAGTTGTGTGAGACGGCGAGAGTGCTCAGGCGGGTTCACGCTGACCGGTTCGCAGATCGTTCGCGGCTGGTGTTAACCGTGATTGAGAATCCAACTCAGGTCTCTGTGTTCGTGACGTGGCGCGCTAACCACTCCGTCACTGATCCTCACCTTCACACACAAAAGACAAAGATCCCCGGTGTAGGCTAAACAGACTGCTGGGGCAAGTGCAGTTAGCAAGTAACACCTCTGAAGGCCGACACGGAACACAACTGGGTGGGCGGGCAGAACCTTGCCCGGCCACCTTTGTCTCCCCAAGTGCTGATGTTTACACACCACAGTAGGTACTAATTTAAGGGCGAGTCTATATCTAGGGGACAACCAGCACTGGCTCAGATTATCGTCTGAATGTAATTTGGATTCGCCGTGTTTGTAGCGCGGCGCGCTAACCGCTGCGCCACCGCTCCCCAGACACACGCACGCGCCCACGCAGGTGTGAGAGCGCCACGTGGCCCTGGATGAGTGAGTTGTTGTGACCACACGCGCGGGGGGGGGGGGGGGAGAATCGTTTCAGTTTGTTCTTTCACAACAAACAAAAAAACAAAAACACGAACAAGGAAAACATCGTAGAAGACCCCACGCACGAGAACCCTGGCTTCGATCGTCCGTGAAGCTCACGGACCACCAACGTAACTCGCAACCGCACACAAAGCATGGCAACAGCAGTGCAGGGAGCCACAGCCGGCAGGGCTCACAGCGCTGTGCATGACGAGGGAGCTCACCCCCCCCCCCCCCCCCCCACCTCTCTTCTCCTCTGCTCCCCCCCCCCCAGGATATTCATCTGGAACCCCCAGCATGGCCCAGTGAGTGCAGGTCGCCGGCCCCCAGCTGCCCCCGCTCCCTCCCACCTCTCACCTCTCCAGGTGAGCTCCCACCCCCCGCCCTCAATGCCCTGACACCCATCAGCGCGTTGTGCGAGCAGGTCCCATACCTCTGCTATGAAGCTGGGCTATTGTCCGAATCGTCACCGATAACGTGCGTGCGTGTTTCATAACGAGGGTCGTGTTACTGACGAATGTGTCGGTGTTTATGATGGTTATAGCTGATGGTATGACGCTGCTGATGTTATGACGCTGTTGATGTTATGACGCTGCTGATCGTACGCTGCCGATGTTGGGCTATCGCTCGAGGCAGCCTCAGCTCACAGGAGCCGACACACGTGAGTGACGAGTCTGATTAATTCACATTCACCAGAGCCACAACCGTCCCCCCCCCCTCCTCCTCCCCGTCCGCTCTCCTGGGGGGAAATTCCCGTGCACCCCCAGCGCCCCCCCCCCTATCTCAGAGTGCGAGGGTTCGGAGAAGTGGGGGTGGAGGGGGTAGGGGGCAGACAGCGTTCAGCCATGCGCCGCGGGAGGTAGCCCCTCTCTCTCTGTAAAGACGCCCCGGCACTACTCGGAATGATGACTGCCGGAGTCGTTGCTGTGCGCGTTACGCAAAATAATCACCTGCACAATCACTCGCATTCTCCCCCTCGTCTTTCGTAGTGTGGCCGATGTCGCTGTAGAGCAACAGTTAGCTGTGATTTTACTTTGAGGTCGTTGCCCCAGGATGATTTGCGAATGACGCCCTCCGCCTCGTCCGTATTTGCAAATCGGGTGCCGAATCGCTCTATACTCCACGGTTTTGTTATGGGCACCACTGAACGGAGATTTGTTTTAAATGTATTTTCCATTTGTGCATCATCGTCATTATCATCAGCGGCGAGTGTCGCCGCCTCTGCTGTTGCCATGCTTTGTGTGCGGTTGCGAGTTACGGTGGTGGTCCGTGAGCTTCACGGACGATCGAAACCAGGGTTCTCGTGCGTGGGGTCTTCTACGAGGAGGAGTTTGTGGCTTCTTGTGCAGCACATTCAGCTTTTCAAACATCATCGTGAGGGTTGAAGTTGCATCGTTATAATCACCAGTGCCTTATCAGCAGTACTAGGACCCATAGACAACAGACAGGGACCTCGTCGATAACATCTGGCAGTTCACCTGCAGGATTGGTTCAAGCGAGTCTGGCTGCTGACGAGCCACTGAATGTCAAAACCGGTCCGGAGTTTTTCGTGCGTTGAACCAATGCCGCTGACAATGTTGCACTCCAAGATGCAAGGCCGTGATGAGGCCGATGAGAGGTGCACAGCATACTTGTGGGGTTGTTGATGCGGAGACACCGATATGTAAAGGAGGCGGATTGCGGGGCTATTTATTTATTTATTAGTATTTGTGTGATCACCTGGCGCAGGTGGCTCCCGCTGCTGTCGGCCTCCGCCTATCCCGGGGCGGGACGCGTCTGGACGCGTGTCAAGTGCGAGACGGGAAGCGAGGTGAGCACGAACAGTGCGCGAGACGCGTGGATGTTCGCGAGACGACGTGCGTGTGACGTGCGTGTGACGTGCGTGTGACGGGACCCCGAGGGTGATGGCGCTACTCTCCGATTATTAGAATTACCAGTCCGATCGCAAGTGGCGTCTCCAAAGCCACCGTCTTCGTCGGGGCAGCCTTGCCGGGGAGAGGACAGCGGCAGGGGATAGGGGGAAGGAGGCAAGGGTAATAGCGGGCAGCGGGGGGTGGGGTTTAACGATAGTTACGGGTAGGGTCAGGAGCAGAATAGTGCGAGGCATAGTGTTGGTGTTGCGGTAAGCGTCGTTCCAGACGGCGTTTGTTGTTGTCGGGTCAGTACAGTGAATAGGGAATGGTACTGGAGTTAAAGTTGTGATTGGCGTTGCGCTTGCAGTCGGGATGTTAGCTGTGCGAGTGTTGTGGTCAGGGCTATGGCTGTTTTCGGGATAGTGTGGTAGCTATGGTCGCGTTAGCCGTTGTCGTTGCGGTCCGTGTTGGGTGTCGTGAGGGGTCAGCGTGAGGCTGTGGTTGACCGTCTCGCCGCCTCTGGGCGTCACCGCGTATCGCTGTGCCGACGTCGCCCCCTGCTGCCCGCAGCCTCAATCACGCGGGGAGCAGCGGTCAGCGAGCAGCTTGGGGGGTCATTGACAGGGGGGGATCATTTATCAGGGCTCAGTAAGCGGGGATCATCGATTAGGGATCGTGGATACAGGATTCTGTATCCGGGATTAAAGATCGCGGAGGAGGGCCGTGTATCGTGGGTGAGGAGGGATCAGAGAGTGGTGGATGCGGGGCCTTGCATTGGGCGGATTTACGGGCCGTCGAGGAGGGATCAATGAGTAGGGATCGTGTCTCAGGGCCCACGCTGCAGGGATCAGGGAATTGGGATCATGCGGAATCAGGGAATTGGGATCATGCGGAATCAGGGAATTGGGATCATGTGGAATCAATGCCGCGCTCCGTGTGGGGCCCCTCTCGTCGCGTTAGTGGCCGCAGGGGGAGTTGGGGGTGGCGGGGTGGGAGGGGGGACACGTGGGGAGGGGGGAGTGGTGGGGGGTTGGTCTGGGGGTGGTGGGGGGGTGGTGGGGGTACACTTGAAGTGGCGCCCCCCTCACCACCTCCCCCCCCCAATCTGCATCTCGCGGTGGGTGGGGCGAGGGGGTTCAAAGCGAGTCCCCGGAGCTTGAGGATGAAGCATTGCGTGAAGAATCGCAATGCACGACCCGCCAACCCCCCCACCCCACCCCGAGCCCCCGCCCCCACACCCCATCGCGACCCCACGCGTGGGGTCTTGAGTCGGCGTCCCGCTTTTTGCAGGTGACCCCCGTGCGAGCGAGGGGGGTCTGATCCGGCGGGAGGTGGCGTGGTGTGTGTGGTGTGTGTGGTGTGTGTGTGGTGTGTGTGTGGTGTGTGGTGTGTGCGTGGTGTGTGTGTGGTGTGGTGTGTGGTGTGTGCGTGGTGTGTGTGTGGTGTGTATGTGTGGTGTGTATGTGTGGTGTTTATGTGTGGTGTGTGTGGTGTGTGTGTGGTATGTGTGGTATGTATGTGTGGTGTGTGTGGTGTGTGTGTGGTATGTGTGGTATGTGTGGTGTGTGTGTGTGTGTGGTGTGTGAGCTGGGGGGGGGGGGGGGAGATAACGGCATTGTCCTTGGATCCGCCACGTTCGCACCCCTCACCCCGAGCGCCTTTGTTTCCCCCCTCGACAACAAAAGCGGCGCCTCCGGATTAATTTCATAGCAGGACACAGCCAGCCCCCTCCCCCACATTTCCCTCTCGCCACGCGGCCCACACTGGCACTGCAAAGTGTCCTTCGCTTAACATTTCACTTAATGACAGAGCTCGTGGACATGCTAATGAGGCTGGGCACGCGGCGGCCGGTCGTGGCGTCCGTGCGTCAAATATCTCTATTTTGGTAGCGCGCTGGCGGGAGGCGGGAGGGAGCAGGGGGAAGGGCCGGACAGAAGGGGGGGGGGCTGGAGGGAGGGAGGGAGGAGAGGGGGGGGGGCAGCCACTAATGAGATCCAGCGCCGTGTAACCCGCGGAGAAGTGCGCGTCGCGCTATCTCCGCTGTGCGTGCGGCGCGAAGCAGCGCCGCTAATCTGCCGCTAACAGGCGGCCCAGTCATCAGCCCCAAAAAACTCCCAGCTCATTTGCTTATGAATAGTCATGCAGAGATAGCGCCTCGGCCGCCTCCCTCCTCCTCCTCCTCTCCTCCTCCTTCTCTCTGAGTGGCCGCTAACGTCACTTGATATTCACGGCACACATCAGATTTGCATGCCGCGCGCCGTGGCTGTGGCCGTGTCGCTCGCTCTCTCTCTCTCTGTATTTATTTATTTTATTTCTCAAAACTTTGGCTCATTATCTCGGTGGCCATAAATGTGCAGATAAAACACACGAGGCCCCCCACCCCACCCCCCCAATTCGTAAGCAAATTCCTCGCGCGCCGCTTTCTTCATGCGAGGCGACCATAGCGCCATAGATACTTGATGATTTATATTTGTCCCCGTGCACCCTATCTGTGCTCATTTCACTTCACCCACACCCACACACACGAGATACACACACACAGATGATACACGTTCAGAGATACACACACAAACAAAGGTCTCCCTCCATCCCGTGTAGCCTACGCAGGCCGTTGGGGCAAGGGCTTTTTAGCGAACGGCATCTACAAAGACCGGAACGGCGCAGGAATGAGTGGTGTAGCCGGAACGACCACCTCCTGCCGCCTTTGTCTCCCCGGTTATGATGTTTGCGCATCGCGCTGGGTGCTCACATGAGGCTGAGTCGACCCAGGGGAGACGACCCAGTGATATTTTGTCGTGAGCGAGAATCCAACTCGGATGGCCGGGTGCGTAGCGCAGTGCACTAACCACTGCGCTACCGCTCCCCATAAAGACAACAGAACAAGAATAGCGGCCATTCTCAACTAAGTGTCTGTGAAGTCAACACGGCGCTTGTGCCAGGCTAGGTGCACTTTTGATCCGCATGAAGTGTCGAAGGCTCGCTGACATTTGTTCCCCGGACAGTCGAAGTTGCCATGGATTGACTGAGATGACTGCAGATGCACTACTTGGGATCCCTGCTGTGTCAACTTGCTGTATTTTAACCACCTGGCACTCCGACCGTTGTTGTGAGCGTCACTCGTCCGTCCCCCGCTTTTGTTGCATGGAGACTGCCTCCAACTACCCAGCAGAGTCCTTCACGAGCCTCCTCCACAGAATCCGATCTTTACTTTGCTGGTACCAATCGTCAGCAAGTCCACTCGGCTCCACATCCTCCTCTACCACATTACTCCATCTCTTCTCTAGCCCGTGTTGCGCCCGTTTAGCCCCCTTTATTCGGTCAAACATTAGCAGCTTGGGCAAGCAGTGTGGCTGGACATGAGGGCTACATGACCCAGCCAACACAGCCTTTCAAGCATAGAGAAGGAAGGCATAACTCGGCACGGACTGTAGAAGAGATGGACTGATATGGTGCAGGAGCATATGAGCCGAGCGGACTTGCCAAAGATCGGTACCAGCCGTGTCAAGATCGGCCGGCCTCTTTAAATGTGGCTTGTGAAGGGCGCTACTGGGCAGTCGGAGGCAGTCGCCCTCCAACAGCTGCGGAGGGCAGAGGAGTGACTCTCACAACAATGAGTGGAGCACCGGGCGACTAAAATACAGCAAGTTGGTACAGTGGGAAGCACAGGTGGTGCAACTGCCAGTCACCTCAGTCAACCCATGGCACCTGGGCTAGTTCCATGACCTCTTGTAAGCAAGCCTTCGACACCTCAGATGGCCTCAAAGTGCACCTAGCCTGGCACACGCGCCGTGGTGATGTCACCTGCACACTTAGTGGCGAATTATGGCTATTGTTGTTTTTGTGTGGTCGTGGGAGATGGGAGGGAGAGAGTCAGAGCGAGAGTTCGTTATATGAAAGCATGCGGGCCCGTATCTTAGGCGAGCAATTGGAAGGAGCTGATGAGGAGAGACAGACGTCCGCTCAGAGCTCATCAGAGGATTAGGATTACTCGGGGACGTGAGGAGGAGGAGCAGGCGCCGTTATCGGCGGTAGCAGCTCTGGTCGTGACGGAACGGGGCCTGCATGGGGGGCGGGCGGGGGGGGGGATGAGGTGGGAGGGTTGGGGGGAGCAGGAGGCTCCTACTCCCCCCCCCCCACGGCCCCTCCAGATTAGGCAGCAGGTATTTTTTTTATCCCTAGAAATTAAAAAGGGAAATCGTGGTGCCGCCGCGCCCACCGCTCTCCGCGTGTGATGAGCGATGAGCGGCGTTGTGCATCTCCCGTATTGTTATTGTTGCCATCTGTTGTTTGTAAACAGACGTCCAAAACGTGAAGTGGTCAGCAACAACCGGCACTGAAAAAGTTGTAATCGTTAACAGGTGTCTTAAATTGAGCAAGGTTATTGCGATAATAGCTTTGGGGGAAGAGGGACGATGATGGGAGGAGGAACTTCCATAGTGAAGCAGTACGAGGGAAGACGCAGAAAGAGAAGTAAGGTGACCTGCAGTTTGGTGAATGGGTGGGTGAGTGCGTGGATGAGTGGGTGGGTGAGTGCGTGGATGAGTGGGTAAGTTAGTGTGATTTGACCAGCAGTGTCCAGATCGGCCTTTGTGGAGGAGGTTCGTGAAGGACGCTGCTGAGGAGTTGGAGGCAGTCACCCGCCAGCAACAACGAAGGGCAGAGGAGCGACGCTCACAACGAGAGGAGCTCCGGGCAGCTAAAACACATCGAGTTGGCACAGTGGGGAGCACGGTTGGTGGATCTGCTAGTAATCTCATTCAGTCAACCCGTGGCACCTGTGTCTGTTCCGTGACCTCCTGTCAGTGGGCCTTTGACACTTCACGTGGCCTCAAAGTACACCTGGCCTGGCACAAGCGCCGAGGTGACGTCAGAGTGATTGAGAACCTAGCACTCACCGATTCCCTCGTCGCTTGTGGTCAGTTGCCTCCTTGTCACTGTTCTATCGCTACGACCATGGTCACTCTTCCCGTAAACGTCACTTGTTGATTGCTGCACCCTTCTCAATCACAGTGCGTTCAACTTCCACCACACTGCAGATCATAAAAAATAGACAAAGACAAAAATCTCCCAAATAGCCTTAACAGACTGTTGGGGCAAGTGCTATTCACGAGCACCTATGAAGGCCGGAACGGTACACGAGGGGGTGGGTGGCCAGCACCACGCCTGGCTGCCTTTGACTCCCTAGTGGCGATGTTTACACATCATACCAGGTACTCATTTGAAGGCCGAATCGACCTTGGGGAGGCCCAGGACCAGTTCAAATAATCGTCACTGGTGTTGACCGTGAGTGGGTATCGAACTCGGGTAGCCGGGTTCATAGTGCAGCATGCTAACCACTACACTACCGCTCCCCAGCCACTCACAGCCACTCACTCATACTGAAACACAGCCACTCACACCCACTCAAACACAGCCACTCACACCTACTCACAACCACTCACACTCTCGCACTCACATCCACTCACTCACTCACACCCACCCACTCACTCACAACCACTCACACCTACTTTTTAACATCCACTCACACCCACTCACAACCACTCCCAACCACTCATTTACAACCACTCACACCCACTCACATCCACCCACTCACATCCACTCATTCACTGACAGCAACTCACAGCCACTACATTGCCCTATTGGCTGTAGACGCAGGTGATGTTAGGGAGGAGGGCATGACAAACACGGGAGTGGTGTAGCCAGCACCATGCCTGTCTCCCTTTGTCTCCCCAATGTTGATGTTCACACATCACATCAGATAATTCACAGCACTTTGTTTATTCCACTGTTAGATGAAAGCCTGCCCACATCATATCAGTCATGGGATTTGTTTGGCTATACTTCACCACGCGTGGGCAGTACAGGTTGGTGAAGGTGGTAGTCAGGACAGCTTCAAATTTCACTCACCACTGATGTAACCTGGGTTCATTGCGCAGTGTACTAACCACTGCGCCACCGTTCCCTACGAACGGTGGCGCAGTGGTGAGCGGTACGCTCTGTGGTACATACAGACTGTTGGAGCAAAGACAAAATCCTCCGTACAGCCTTAACAGATTTTTTTAAAAAGCATGCTGTTACATCATGGGACCTCCTTTGCCTGTACCAAAATACGAGAATAGGTTTTCCCCCTTTTTTCTGGCAACAAAACAGGTGTTAAGATGTTAAAACACCAAACTGAATCCTTTAACACCGTTTTGAGACTAGGCTCAAATGAAAGCTGTCTCTGGTGTGGACCAATCAGTTTCAAAGACAATGCATATATTATCAGAGTATGTTTTTTTTTGCATTCCGACCACAAGTATTGTGGTTAATGCAGACATGATTCCTTGTAAAAGGTTTCAGTTTGGTGTTTTAACATCTTAACACCTGTTTTGTTGCCAGAAAAAAGGGGAAACCCTATTCTCAATAATGCTGTTAGCGAGCACTTATTAAGGCTGGTACAACACATGAGGGAGTGCTATGGCTGACAGCATACTTTGCCGCCTTTGTCTCCCCAGTGTTGATCTTTACAAACTACACCAGGTATTTATTTAAAGCTGAGTCGACCTATGGGAGATATGTAACCAGTTTAGGTATTCACCACTGATGTTAGCTGTGGTCAGGAACCACACTCGAGTTACCAGGTTCATAGCGCAGTGCGCTAACCACTGCACCATCACTCCACATGTTGAGACACACATATATTATTGACATAGGGGAGGTTCATGGCAGGTTCAGATATTCGCTACAGATGGCAGTCGTGACCGGGAACTGAACTTAGTTTGCCGGGTTTATTGCATAGTGCGCTAAGCACGAACACCACCGCTTACGGCTCACAAACACTGCCACGCTCGCGCACACGAACACACCCACGCACGCCCGTCCGCCGTGAAGGAGCGTGTGGGCCCGGTGTGTGCGCGCGCGTGCCGTGCTTGCGAGCTGTGGCTCATTCTCCATGGATTCTGGTCTCTGTTGTGCAACAAGAGTTGTGACAACACGACTCGGTTCTCCTTTTTGTTTCTCAGAAGTGAAGTGTCCCTTCCCTGCATGCATTGCCCGTATGCCCTCCCATCACTCTCGCCCATTAACACCACGGGGCCGACTGCCGATGATTCGTTTAGAAGATGTTTATCAGACACATCGCACTTTCAAATGCCCGGACGGGTGTACGTTTACGCGCATGTAAATACTGCCCCTCCTCCCATTCCCCATTAATGAAATCTGAAATTTGAAACCGCGATTTCACGAGGCACGGCGAGAAATTTCACACGCGCGCCGTTGCCGTGGCGACGTGAATGGTGAGCGGTGCTCTCGGGCTCTGCATCTCCGAGCCACACACCGATGATTTCACGGCCTCGGTCACATTTCATTGAACATTAATGGACATGGCAGGCCCCCCCCACGCCCCAACCTTCCAATCTACAAGGGGGGGCCGGGGGGGGGGGTGGGCATAGGGCGAAAAATCCCCACAAAATAAAGAAGCCCTTGTCATAACAGGCGTGATGTATCATGGAGGCAGGAGGAGCGCCGAGCTCATTTCGCGATGCGATAGCCGAGTTTGGCGTCAACAGGTTATCAGCCAGGAGCAGCAGGGCTGCCTGGACCATAACCGGAAGCAGATGCTCCCAGTGTCTTGACCGCAGACCCTGCCCGCTGGGTTGCACCACCTCCCTGGCCCCGCGAGGATCTGCCCTTGTCTCTTGGCCGATTGGTGCCGGTGTCCCGCTATCGTGCCCTCCCGCTCCTCTGTGTCACCGACGTCAACCAGAAAATTTATTTGCGGTCTCCCGCCGCGGGATGATGCTGCAAAAAGCGTGCGGTTGGGCGGTAGCGTGCCGCGCGGCCCTCGTTCGCTGGCGACTGGGCGAGGAGGGGCGCACCGCGTCGCTTGGGCCTGGTTTGGGCGCCGTCCACGTCGTGTGGCCCGGGGCCCCTTGGCTTGGAGACAAAGAGGAGCAGCTCGGGCCTCCATAGCCTCCCAACATGGTGGGCCCCATCTGACCTGGCAGCGATGGCACTGCACGCTCGCCTAACCCGCCTTCGCTCCGCATTGGTTGCGGCTCATGAACACAGGCCCCTGTGCCAATGTGACCCACAACTTTCTTCTTACGGCGCAAAATAATGATTCACGTCGGTGTGGAGAATATAAGTAACTAAATAAATCAGCAGAATATATGCCTAATTGAGCCTGACTGCTGACGTGATATGGAATGTTGAAACTGGCCCAGAGTGCGCTTGTGTTGAACCAATACTGCTAAAATGTTGCACTTCCCGATGGCCCTGGAGGGACATATTTGGGAAGGAGGTGAATTGTCTGCTTATTTATTTAGTTTCTTCTGATTGTGTATACTATTTTCCATCTCCAGGAATTATCCAGGGAAAATTTTTAAATCGGTAAAGTAAAGAATCTATAATAATGGGTACCTGGGTCAGGCCACACCACAGCGACATGGTCTGCAGTATATCCAATGCTTTCAGTCCTCCACCCAGTCCAGGCAGAAGGCAAGAACCATCATCCTCCTTAATATGCGTCGCAGTTGGCACTTGTCTACTGCAATGTGGAGGTCGTATCCAAGCAGAACCTGACGACAAACAAGACGTAGACAAATGAGGAATGCACATGGGTGGACGCACTACGAATCGCACTCACGCGTGAATGCGGTGGTAGAAATTTTGCTGGTAAAACAACGTTAAGAGCAATATCCACAGGCAAAGGAGGTCCCTCTAATGAATTAATTAATTATACGGTTCCTCCCATGCAGTAGATCTCGAGGCGCTAAAACATGGAGGGGGGGGGGGGGCATTTGAGAAAATGACAAAAGATTTAGTCAGTAAAGAAGTGATTTCAGACTACATATAATTAGCAAAAACAATGTAGTATAGACAATACCCACAAACAACAGTGTGTATACTCCGACGGTGATTTTCGTGGTTGTGCTGCTCCGATGTGTTTTGTGGTTGTACCGCATGTTGTCTGGCACAATGTCCAACCATTCTGGGAGCTTCTTCAGAAGCTGAATTTAGCTGCTCACATTCTCTGTCGGTTATATAGCATCGTTGCTGACTGCTGCTGGTTTCCGATGCAGGCTGTCCGATGTTGTTGATTCACTTCATCTGGGAGGAAATCGAAGGACCCGATGAAAGGATAATGGCACTGTAAAAGTCCAATGTGTTTGTTTATTTCTTCCAGGACTCATGGCCGTGGAGGAGGGTGGCGGAGCGCTGTTGGGCCATGAGGTGCGGGCTCCTTGTGCTGTCTGAGGACCCCAGCGCAAGGTCTCAGCGCAAGCACCGACCGTCCTGCCACAGTGATGACCCAGCTACCAGTGCGTGCCTCATCGCTGACGCGGGGCGGTGCTGGCGGGCGGCTCACGGGCGGTGACGATGAGCAATCGCTGCAGGCGTGACCTCGCATCGTACATCCACGAGCATGACGGCAGCGGCGGCGGCGGCGGCGCGGACGAGGCGCAATGGCGCGCGGAGGTGCTGTGCCAACGCTGCTCGTCAACGGACGTACGGCGAGTGGAGCACGTGGAGCACGCGGGGCGCATGGAGCATGCAGCAGCAAGAGACGCCAATGTCTGTCGGGAGGCAGCGGCGCACACGCAGGTGTCAAGCTCCGAGCGGGAGAGGGAACGGTGCGACTGCTGCAGGGCCCAGGGGAGGGCCGCTGGCCATGGTGGAGACGCCATACGTGGCCCAATGTCCCCAGAGAAACACCGAGCGCCGGAGCGAGTGAGGAGGAACAGCCGTGGGGAAGGGACACATGGTGGTCTATGCAGGAATAAGCCGGCCGGCCCCAAGAGCAACCCTACCATCGGAATTGCCTACCCGCAACAGAAGGCTGTTCCACACAGGAGGGCCCCAGGGCCGCGGCCGCCCGTCAATGGGAGCTACCGCTTCCACGTGCCCCGCATCCCCGAGCGTGAAGCCGAGCTGCAGAAGGAGGACATTGGCCACCGGCAGCGCGGGGAGGCACCGCACTTCCATGCCCGGCCGCCTGTGGGAAAGTGCCCGCCGCTGCCCACGCGTACGGCTCAGCAGCAGCAGCAGCAGCACGATGCAAGCCCGCAGGTCTTCCCGGATGGGCGGATGCAGGGCGGTGCCTTCCGTGAGGAGCTGGGTCCTGTCGCTCACATCCCGCACTTCCACCGCAGCGCGACTGCCGCCACTCCCTGGGGGTTCGCAAGCGCTGGAGGGGAAGCGGCATCATCTGACGAGGGCAACCTGCTCCTCAGCGGCGTCGAAGCCTCGCTCCTCGCACAGTCGCTGCAGGCGGTGTGCGGGCAGCAGCGGCCACTCCCGCGTGACTCACCGCCCGAGCCGCTCGCGCAGGGACCCTACTCGCTACAGCCGCCACCGCGCTTCTGCCACAGAGAGCACTCCGTGCACAGGCTGCCCTACGGCGAGATGCACTCTGTGCCTTTCCCGTGCACCGCGCAGCTCCCCGTCAAACACTTTCCTCTGCCCCTATTACAGCAATCCACGCTGTGCCACCATGGGCCAATAGCACCCTGGGTGGAGCGCACGCACCCATCTGCCCCGTTCAGCCCCATGGAGCCCTCGGATGACGAGTCGTCTGGCCCTGCGCAGGCAGCGCCCTTCGGCTTCCAGGGTCCATGCTTGCCGACATTCGACGGCAGCGCTACCTCCGACTGCGGCTTCTTGATTCAGAAGCACGGCAGCCTGAAGCAAATGCCGGCCGGCTTCTCCACTGGCAATGCGGCTGAGCAAGTGGCCAGTGATGGCGTGAATGGCACGGACACATTCCTTCTGCCTCCGTGGGAGCTGCAGGAGGCGCCGTTGCTGTGCGTGGAGGCTGACAAGGGACTACCATTCCTGTGCGGGCAGGAGCCTCGCTTGGACCAGCTGACACATGGCACCGTTCCCAAGAACAACAGCAGCATTAGTGGCAGCAGCGTGGGTCATCAGGAGCAGCACATGTCCCTGGGCCCGGTTCCACTGGGCCTGGCCAAGCTGCCCTGGCAGCAGATCTACCACGCGCCCATCACGACAAACCAGAACCGGATTGAACTGTCGCGCCAGCTGAGCAAGCAGCACCTGGTGATGTCGGCATTGGCACCGCACGGCAAGGACTGCGCAGACAGGAAACGCCCACTACTCCCTTTGGATGAGGTCTCAGCCTGGAGATGTGAGGCAGTTGAGGGCTACTCCGGGGCCCCGCAGGGCCCTGTGCCCACATTTCCTCCCCATGAGAGCCAGGAGCCGAGGATTCCGGGTGTCTTCTCTTTGCCGCAAGCTTTCTTCGGTGCTCACGTCAGCAGAGGGAAGGCAACACCTGTACCCATTCGTGCGGCGAGCATGGCCGCTTCCCTGCAGATGTCGCCGTCCTGCGCAAGTCCTGGAGGGCCCTGGTTGGGACGGGCGCGCGCAGGGCCCTGGGGCTGTGAGGGGGGCATGCCACCGAGTGACGCGGGACTCGACTTGCCGGCGCCAGGTGAACGACAGTCTCAGCTGGACGCCGCGGGGCAACTTTTGCAGGATTCACTGTGCAGGGTCATGGGAATGCATGTGGCTGCGCAAAACCAGCAGAGCTTCCTTAACTCCCTCAATGGTGCCAGCTTGGACGGTCTGGACGTGTTCTTGACGTGCCGGCAGTGTGACAAGAACTTCGTCGACGTGGCATCGCTGCTGCAGCACCGGCAGACATGCAGTGTGCCGACTGGGCCAAGTGCCGCTCTGCTGGAAAGCATGACCTCCTCGATCGGCAGCAGCTCCTGTCGCTCAGCAATGCAGCAGCCTGTGTCAACGCAGCTTCCCGAAGGCGGAGGTGCGAGAAGCTTCGAGTGCAGCACGAGGGCCTCCTCCTCCTCCGTCTGCGCCGAGAATATCCCGGCAAAAGCCAACAAGGACGAGCTCTCGGTCAACCTGAGCCAGCTGGCCACAGCTCCGGGCCACCTCGCTCACACGACGGATTTGGACATGGACGACGCGGCCCGGCTCGACAGCCTGATCATCGAGACGCTCAACGGGCTGGGCTACCACACGGACGATGGTGAGCTGGACAGCAGCTTCATTGAGGCGTTCACAGACGAAGATGCGCTTGTGCCACGTCGTGCCGGTGACGTCGCAGCGACAGCTGCGTTGCCACAACCTCCAGAGAGCACAGCGAAGGTGGCCACGCGGGACAGCGACGTCGGGAAGGGACACGAGGAGACGGCGCCCACGGCGACCGCGGGGCGAGGCAGAGCCAGTCGACACCGGGGTAGGCGCGGGCGAGGCAAGGATATGCGGCAGCTGTACCACACCAGCAGGAGCAAGAAGAAGCAGCGAAGGGGACGGTGGGCAGCCCTGCCGGTCGGGAAGCGGAATGGCTATAACCTCATGATCACAACGCCTGTGACGTGCGTGCCCACAACATCTGTCTGCTTGAGACAAGACGTCCTGGCACCATCACCAGACAGCTCAAGTAGCCCCCTCCGGCCACACCATACATCCTCACACGATGTTGTTGGTGTTACTGGTGGAGGTCTGGGAGATGGCGCTCTTGATGGGAACACGTGTGGAAAGGATGGACTCAGTGCTGACATGGTGGAACCAGAGTCCCTCAGCTCACGCCCAGAGAAGCCTCTGCCCTCCGTGTCCAAACCCATTGCTCACAGGAGCACTAAACATGTGGACGTGCTGAGCCGGAGGGGAGTGAGCGGCCGGCTAAACAAGGAGCTCATTCACAAAATCGTGCTGCAGAAAAACAACTTCTATAAAGTAAGAATGAAGCCATGGAGGTCGCCCCTCGACAAGTTGAAGCTCGTTTTAAACATCCCAAAGTCCGTGGTGAAAGATCAGCCACTCGGCGAGTATGACTACATATCTGATACAGACACGGATCATGATCCCATGGGAGCCAAGGGCATAAAGATCGACCTAAGAGAGGTGCCTTTGAAACAGCCGATCGCACTAAGTGAGAGGTTGAACATCGCCTCAAATACACAAACCACCACAAATTTCTCACCAGGGAAAAACAGACTCAATTCTGATACTGTGCAACAATCGGAATTTTTTGAGCACCAGAAAGAATCACACGCCTGGAAGGAGCACCACGATAAAGACACAGAGCTGGGCATTGCCACTGAACATTGTAAGCATGACGGTGGCAGTCGTGCCAGTTCCGGTGAGGCGGCAGTGTCAAGGGAAGAGGAATCTCAGCCAGGGATGGATAGGGGGTCCCTTGGCGGCATATGCAGCCCAGGGCTACAGGGGGGGGCCCGGTTCCATGAGGGAGCTTCTCTACAGGCCCTCACCAGTCCCTGCTGGAGACTGGAGGATCGTGAGAGGTGGAGCGATGCCATGAGCTGTGAGTCAGGGAGCAGCAGAGATGACCCGACACAGAACTGGGAACCCGGCGCTCAGCACTCGGACTCAACCAGGCCCCTGCAGCATCCGTTGCCGGCAGTCTCTCCTGGCGCCAGCCACTCACTGGCAAGTACTGCCCTCGAGGTATTTGATTTGGGTGGCAGCGCCAGCCCTCAGCTGCCCTTCCCGTCGGGCGGCCACCTGGGCAAGACAGCGGCTCACTTTGACGCAGAGGACATCCTGGAGGCACTGCAGCTCAGCGAGCTGGGCGAGCGGTCGCGGTGTGAACCAATCGAGGCCAGCGGAGTGGCACATGCCACTGACATCGGTCAGGATGGCAGCGCGGCCCACGTGGACAATCTGAGCACCACGGATGCCATGGAGAAGGAGTGGTCCTTCCTAGACGAGATGAGCAGTATTTTCTCAGGGAATTTTGACCTCAACCAAGAGCTGAACTCGAATCTAACGCAGCCACTGCTGAGTCACGGTGGAAAGCTGTCACTGAATATGGAAAGTAATTTCGAAGAGCAGACAGACATCGGCTCTACAGAATTTCACATGACAGAGACGTTTCACACTCCGCCTTTAGTCCAGGGTAGCAAGATCAAGAACATAATGGACACCATTACAAATATCACGGATGTGGAACACCTTAAAAACACAGCTTTGCACAATGACACTTGCATCTGCACTTCAGAGAGCAGCAACAGCAGTAGCAACAGAAGCAGCCTCGGTGAAGGACAGCCAGCCGAGTGTAGGAGAGGAAAAGCACAGTCGTCCGAGTCTGTTGTGGCAGTGCCGAGTGATGCCAAGACAAAGCCCATCAGCTTTCTGTCGCCAGTGCTGCACTGTGACTTCTGGACAGGCGACTTCCACCCATTCAGCCCTTGCTTCGATGAAGCACCATCGCCGTCCCCGGACTCCCGTGCGCTCACCGTGCTCGAGCGCTATCTGCCCTGCAACAACAGCACAAGCGAAAGTGGTGCTCTAACCATGTCCCCAGAGACCCGGAGCATTGCACCAGGGCTGATGATGAGGACGACGACAACAATGCCACTTGGAGCGAAGTTGCCACAGGTTGAATTGGGGCAGCTTGCTTTGCAAGCTCCCGAGGACACGAATTTCCTCCCATCAGCTCCACTAAGCGTCCTGGCTGCACTGTGTCACTCGGATGAAGATGCTTCAGCAATGGTCGCCCCCTGCGGCATGCTGAGACTGTCAGACTCTGAAAAACTAGAGCTTTCACAGAATGGTAATGTTACTGTGTGCAAATACACGGGGTCTCTAACAGCTGAGCAGGAAGCAGGAAGCATTTCACTGGGACTGGTAAAGAACTTGGAATGCGATGAGGTCCACACACAGCCTGCAGTTACTTGTGATGAAGCTAAATGTTTCTCTGAAAACGTCACACTGAATGGAGTCCCTGAACTCTGTGATGAAAGCCCTGAAGCTGCAGTAGCATGCATCAAGGAGAAGGCCATGGTAGATTTAAGTTCAGCGCAGGGTGACCCACCCATCTGTTCAGAGTTGGAACCCAGGGACTCACCTTACTTTCCTACAGATGGAGCACCTGGAGTTGGAATACATTCGTCCAAGTGCCAGATGCCCATGAATCCTGCCGTGGGCCTTCACGACGTTCTCTACTCCCCTATTTCCCCTGACAGCTTCATCTTCAGTGACGCGGCGAGTTGTGATGGTGGCTCTGAAACTGACATTGTGAGCAGTGCTGAGTGCGGTGGATTTGCAGGTGGAGCCTCTGCCAGGGAGGACATGAAACCAGTTTGCAGAAGCCTTGTGCAGATTAATGAAGATCTCCACGTGAAATCTCTCCTGGACTCTTCTACACTTGAGCACAGCCCAAAAGCAGATCCGGAAATAGAGCTCATGGACAGCATAGTTAAATCTGTTGAATCAAGTTATGCAATAACAAAAGAGAATGTTGAAGCAGTTGGTGAGTGTATAATTGAGTCTACAAAGCCTCCAGAAATTAAAAGACCAAAGGCCACATGTGAAGGTTTACTCTTTGCAAGCGAGCACATCTCTTTGGGTCATAGGAGCTGCAATTTCTCAGCCACAACAGTTGCAGAGAGTGTCATGACCTCTTCTCGTGCTTCTCCGCACTCCTCCAGTGGTGACCCCTGCCCTGACGAGCCTCAGCAGCAGCAGCCACAAGCAACTGGGGGAAACAGATGTCATCTCACCAATGCTACCGAGTCGCCTCGTAGAAGGAGAAACTCATGCCCCAGTGAAGGAGCGATGGGTCAGCAGCTGCGCTTCGCAAAAGAAAATGGAGAATGTATCACCTCTCAGTCTGATGCTGTCCCACTGAATATTCTGCACTCATCTCAAAATGAAAGCAAACCTGAACGGGCATTGAAAACCAAGGCAATGAACTCTTCAGGTGAAACTTGCTTGGGGGAGCGTGGGAACCCAGAGGCTGTTTATCTTCACGCTGAACCCCATCGAGGCCTCCCTACCAAATCTGCCGAGCTCCTGGTCACTGTAGTGGCCCACCATGAACAAGAACTCAATCGAACTGCTCAGCACTGGGGCTTGGGTGCCACGCGGCTCCATGTGGATGAGGATAACAGCGCACATCCGGTGGCCTTCACAACAAACCGAGGATCACAACCAGTGGAGCTTGGTGACCGGTGCGAGGCCATAGGAGAGCAGGGTGGCCCTTCGTGTTTGGGCTCCTCCTTGCTGGAGTTCACTGCTACAGGAGGAGGACGCGGAGGTTACGAAGGAGCCAGAGATCACGGTGGAGCCATCGTCAGTGGGAGCCATGAGCTCCCTCGTTTAAACACGGAGCACACAGGTCCCGACCTTGATCAGCCAGTCGCAGGTTCAGCCACCAAGAGAGAAAACCACTCTCTCGATTACGAAGATGCACAGACAGTGCCATTGTTGGCGCTGAGTGACACATTTGGGAAGTCACCTGCAGATATTGAGGTGAGAGCCCTGAGCAGTGGTGAACCTGAAGCTCTGGAAGAAGCACCACCACTCAAGAAGGGCACTCACTCCAGCCCTCCTGATCCAGGGTCCAAGATAATGAGCCATCCTTGTCCACATTCGATAACCCAGGCCCCCAGTTCCCCAAGCATTGAGGTCATCACGGGATGGGGTCCAGAGGAGGCCTCCTCATTGTGCAATGTGTGCCAGGCTTCCTTCAGGTCCCGGGTGGGATTAGTGCGGCACAAGGCCATCAGACACAATGCACAAGTGCAGCTTGATGACATCTCGCACGTGAAGGAGGATGCAGTTGAGGGGACAGAATCGGTGGTGGCAGAATCAGCGGGGGCAGCACAGGAGGGAATATTGCATCCTAACCTTTCCATGCTCACACACAATACCGACCTGCGCTGGCCACACAAGCAACCTGTGGCAGACATTGACGGCTGCTCACGTCCCCATATAGCACATCTAGATTCAACCATAACAACCACCATCTCCCAGGTGTGCAACACAGACATGGCCACGACTGTGAACAGTTCCCGACCAGTGCAACCCGAACTATCGCTACCACAATGTGGTTCTCTCAGCCCATGCACACCGGTGGTGGAGAACACAACGCAGGCTTTTGTCGAGAGTTTGTTCCAATTCAATGAACTGGACCATATTCCTGCAGCTGCGACACATGAGAGCTCAGGTACTGAGATGGACGGTGCAGACAACAGCCCTAAAAGAGCTGGTGGTGTTGGTGAATCCGTGATGGACAGGCACCGGCTGCCGTCGCTGCTTGATGGAGACGCAATAAGAGATCTGCATGCACAATCGGATGCAGGTGCCGGATTAGTGAAGATGTGGGAACCCCGTGCACAACCCAGAGCGACAGAGGAGGATGAAGAAGTGGGTGGACAGAGAACACCGGAGCCCCGAAGCCCCTTCTACAGCACCTCTGCTCCAAGGGTGATGCCTGGCCCCTACGACCAGAATAAAAGTGTGGAGGATGAGGAGGACAAGGAGGAGGAGGAAAATGAAGACACAGAACGACAGGATATGGCATCACATGGCAGTAGGGAGGAGCCGATGGTGCTGGAGGATCATGGAGGGCGCAGCTTTGATGCTGACCTTTACCAGGGCCCCTGCAGCCTGCAGGCTTCGCTACCCCTACAAGACTCTTATCCTGGTTGCCCCAGCGTGGCTATGTTTAGCGGGATTCTGGAGGAGAGGGAGGAGAATGGCAGCTGCAATGGTAACAGACATCCCGAATGCATTCCAGAGGTGGCGCCCATGGAGATGATGGGCCAGTGTGAGTTGACCAAAAGCCCTATGCTGGACCTACCCGAGGACCCCTTCATCGAAGCCATCGAGCGGCACCTGAGCACAGTGCGGGCGCACGCGGATGCCCCCCGCGACGTCCCAATGCGCGGCATCGCCGAGCCGAGCGCCGAGGAACCGCACATCTGTGACCTCTCCTCGGCCACGGCAGCCCACGGCGGCCGACGCTCACCGGCACTGGACGAACAGCTCCTGCCATCCTTCGTGGAGGAACGTCGCCTCTTCTCGCCGTCTCCATCCGACGCGTCCGAGGCTCTGGTGGATGCGCACCTCCTGGCAGAGCCACTGCCACCGGGGTTCCTCGAGGGGGTCCTCCGGGAACTTGCCGACGAAATCAAAACGAGTTCCCGGGGCCGGCACGAGCCGACCACGAGAAACCGCGACAAGCAGTACAAGTGTCGCGCATGTTTCCAGTGGTTCCTCACGCTGGGCGAGCTGGACTTCCACAAGCTGTCACACATCCCGGCGCCGCCCCCTACTTGCTACATGTGCGTGCAGCGCAAATTCAGCTCCCGCGAGCAGCTGCGCGAGCACCTGCGCGAGAAGCACTGCAAGCAAAGTCAGCAGCGGACGTGGAGCTGCGGCATGTGCCTCAAGGAGCTGTCGGACATGTGGATGTACAACGAGCACCTGCGCGAGCACGCGGCACAGTTCTCCAAGAAGGGCCAGGTGCACAAGATGGCGCTCATGATGGCCGCGTGCAACGACGAGTACGGCGCCCGCGACTCCGACAACGACGAGGAACGGGGCCCGAAGCCGCAGGCGCCGCCGCTGCCCGTGGGGGCCCTTCCCGAGCCGGTGGACGGAACCGGCGTGGACGCGGCATCCGTCTCTCCTGGACAGGCCCCCAGTGGGGCGCGAGAGGGACTGGCAACGAAGGTCGCGACTGCGGGACCCGAACAGGGACCCGAACAGGGACCCGCGTGCGAGCTGGCGGCCGCGCGCATCCCCGCCGGGGGGGTCCACCCCGACTGCAAGGACCCTTCGCGCGACTGCCACCACTGCGGCAAGCAGTTCCCGAAGCCCTTCAAGTTGCAGAGGCACCTGGTGGTGCACAGCCTGCAGCGTGCGCACGTGTGCCAGCTGTGTCCCGTCGTCTTCCTCGACGCGTCGGACCTGCGGGCGCACCTGGGCGCGGCTCACGGCGTGGACGAGGAGGAGGCCGAGGTGGTGCGCCACGTCACCATCTACGACTGCGAACAGTGCGCCGACGTCATGCACGTCATCAAGAAGTCGTTCATCTGCAGCGCGTGCAACTACACCTTCTCAAAGAAGGAGCAGTTCGACCGACACATGGACAAGCACCTGACGGCTGGGGGAGCCGTCAGGGCCTTCCGCAGGGCCGTGAGGCCGCGGGAGTTGCCCCGTGCCAACACCAGCTCACGTGCACTGACCATGGATTGCGGCCCGCGACCGAAGAGGTGCAAACTGGGGGTGGACGAGGGCGAGACACCCGAGATGTTTGCAGAGCGCAGGCGAATGATGTTCGGCGAGGAGCCTGATGAAATGGACGGATATGCTCATGAGAACCCCATGCACTCGGAAACGATAGGGGCAGCCAACATCTTCACGATGTGTGTGGCGAGGTCTCATGGCTTCCAAGCAAGGATCTTCCCTTCTGAAGCACCTGCTGATGATGATGATGGAGATGATGATGGAGATGATGATGATGATGGTGGTGATGATGCTGATGATGAAGTTCTGCAAGGAAACAGCTGTTTCACTGTTCCTCATTCCCCGCCTCCACCCCTCACCGAGGGCAATGTGTGTGTGGATGAGGTTCCCATGTCCCGAGAAAGGGTGCTCCGAGGGGTCTCAATCCCCGCGGGGGGGCCCGACTACAGCACCAGCACAGGGGGCACCAATAACAGCAATAACACGAGGGACACCAGCCACAGCAATTGCACAGAGGGAAATAATATCAGCAGGACAGGGGGCACAATCAGCAGCACAGAGGGCACAATCAGCAGCACAGAGGGCACAATCAGCAGCACAGAGGGCACAATCAGTTGCAGCAACAGTACGGCGAACGCCAATAATGGCACAAGCACGGGAGACGTCAGCCACAGCACCAGCACGAGGGATGCCGATAGCAGCAGTAACAGCGGCACAGAGAGCACGATCACAGAGAGAACGAACAGCAGCAACAGCAATAGCAGCACGATCACCAGCAGCAGCAGCAGCAGCAGAGATATCACCAATCACAGCACTAGCATGGGGAGCACTAATAACACCAGTGCCAGCACGGGGGCCACCAATAACAGCACTGGTACCGGGGGAAATGAAAGCAGTAGCAGCACGAGGGACACAAGACACAGCGCCAGCAGCAGCACCGATACAGGGAGCGGCACCAACAACAGCTGCAGCATGGGGAGTACCGACAGCTACAGCACCAGCACATCAGGCTCCAGCTACAGCGACAACACTGGGGACACGAATAGAAGAAACACAGCGGACACCAACAATAGCATCAGCAGAGGGAATACAGATTGCAACAGCATGGGGGACACGAGCAATGACGGTTGCAGCAGCACATGGGGCACAAGAACCAGCGGTAGCACCAGTACAGGGTCTATCAAGAATAGCATTAATAACAGCAGCATCGGCATGGGCATTACCGATAACAGCAGTGAGACGAGGGGCATCAGAAACAGCAGCACTAGTATAGAGGGTTCCAGTGCACGGGGTACCAGGGCAGAAGGTAATGGTGCAGAGGGTACTAGCATGGGGGTTACCAGCGATACCAACATTTCAGAAAGCATCAGCGATAACAGCAGCAGCACACTGGGCATCTCCGGCACGAGCGCGGAAGAGTCTCCCACAGGGGTTGGCACCACAGGGGTCGCCGTCATGGGGCACACCAGCAGCAGCAGCAGCAACAGAACAGGGGACAACATCACGGAGGGCACCAGCACGCTGGGCACCGGCACAGGGGACACTTTACCAGGGGACACCGGCCAGGGAGGCTCCTATACTCTAACAGAGGGCACCAGCAATAATCGCAGCGCTGAATGTACTTTCATGAAGAACATCAGTAGCAGCCACGGTACGGGAAGTATTAGCAAGGGAGGTACTATCACGTGGGGCGCCGCCGCCTGCAGCACCACCAGCAGCTACAACCGGAAGAGCTCGCCTGATAAGCCACAGAGAGGCCCCAAGCGACCCTGTGACAGCGCTGGCCCCACCGGCGGTTGCAGGGAGGCACCCAGCAAGCGCCTCAAGGTGGCGGCAAGGGCCCCCAAGCCGGGCCACCCCAACCAGACAGTACCCCGTCATGGACACCACCTGGGTCTCACCTGCGGTGGTGGGGGAGGATATGTCGGTGGAGTCGGTGGTGGAACTGGCAGCAGAGGTACTGGCGTTGGAAACGTCACCGTGAGTGGCAGTGGAAATGGTGGTACTGGTGGCGGGATTGGTGGAACTGGTGGGGGAAATGTTGGTGGTGGAGTTTCTAGTGAAAAAGTTAACATTGCTGGAGGTGGAAATGCTGGTGGAACCGGTGGTGGAAATATCAGTGGAAAAATTTACGGTGCTAGTTTTGGAAGTGGTGATGGAGTGTCCGGCAGAAAGCTCAATGGTGCGAGTGGCGGAAACGTCAGTGGAACTTTTAGTGGAACGTCCGCTGGAAATGTCAACGGTACGAGCTCGTCTGCTGGCGCAAGCAGCGACCTTGAAGACTCCAGGTCCAGCGTCGGCACCCTCTACACGGCCTTCTTCTCGAGCCACTCCTCGCGCGAGGTGCCGGGGCCCCACAGGAGGCCGCTGCTTGATTCCCTCTGTGGCGGGAGTCGCACGGGAGGCCCTCACACCGCGAGGCCACGGCCAGCGCTGCCCGCCAGCTGCAAGTCGGCCCAGTCGCAGCGGGATCTCCTCAACCAGATGTTCGGCCACCGCCTCACGACCTTCAAGATCCCGCTGAGAAAGGAGTGCAAGGAGCAGCTATCGGAATAACCAGGAGGCTTATCAACTATCGCCACGCAGTGTGGCCCTCTCCTGATATTGTGCAGCCATCACCATCACTGCTGGATGAAGGCATCCCCATGCCATCACAGTCCAACGCTGCTTCCATGCATCTCACTTATACTCGTGTAGTCGAGTACCATGAATTACCAGACCAAAGAAGCCTTTACATTACTTCTGTCCTGCTATACCTCTCCAAGATGTCTATGTGGCAGATTGTATTTTATACAGACGTGTTTGTTGATTTTCCTCTGCCGAGGTGAGCGAGGTGGTGACACTGCAGTCAGTGGCCTAGCTGTTGAGTGCACAGGCAGTGCAACTGCACCGGGGGATTCCCACGGGCCAGAGGGGAGGGCCCAGGCACCAGGCTACGAAGAGGGTGAAGCTGACAAGGGGGAGGGCCCATTTAATTCCTTGCAACAGCGCCCATGGCAACCACGCCGTGCCACTGGTGTCAGTATTCTGTGTTATCTCCTGTATTTAAATGTTTACAGCTGTAGCGCTGAGCAATCGCTCTCGGACACAACCACGATTTGACGGAAACCGCAACCCAAACAACACGAGCAACTCTTATCCCACCCATCCCAGCCGGCACAATGCTGCATCATCGATTAATATTGATTCTGAAGCTCGCAGCGCACATGTCGAACTGCGGTGGCACAGTGGTTAGCGTGCTGCACTATAAGCTCGGCCACTTGAGTTCAATTCCCAGCCCATGGCTAACATGAGTGGTAATATCTAAATTGGTCCTGCGTCCCCTCCCCCAACCTTCACCAACCTGTACTGAGCCAGCGCGGTGAGGTATGGTCAAACAACACCCCCATTACCGAAATGGCATGGGGAGGCCTTAATTTAGCAGTGGATTGACATAGGGGGCTGAACATTCTTATTTTACATGTAATGGGCTGACGTTACCCACTTCAGCAGCCACGAGTGGCCGTTTAATTCACCAGGCTGTGTTATGGGCTGTCACAGACGAGTTTGTGTAGCTTCATCATTGATAAACCAACAAAAAACTCCCTGAAAAGTCACTGTCAGAAGTGCTGCATTGACGTCACTGTACACACGTGTGTCGACTCAACTCCCATGGACATGCGAGCGTTTTACGTCGACATAAGTGCGACGATAAGCGCGATAATTTATATCGCTGTAACTGCCACGTGGGTGCTCTGTCGGCTCTTAGTTACCACCCACAAGGGCAGGCTCATATCGACACGGATGCTAAACATCGGCACCCGTGCCGATCTCGCAAGATATGAGGTGCTAAGAACCACACATATATAGAAGCCTATATATAGATGTGCAGAATAACACTATATACAGGGTATATATACACAGCACTATGAGTGCAGTATAGACTGCACATGTGCAGTATGCTGTATGACTATGTAATGGTGTAATACAGTACTATTAGTGCAATGGATGTGTAGTATATATAGTCTATATACTGTACATACTATAAAAAGTGTGCAGAGAAGGCTATTTACTGATGGGTAAACAATTTAATATCTACATTAATATATGTGCTTTTATGTATATGTGCCTTCATAGGTGCTCGCTAACAGCACTTGCCCCAACAGTCTGTTAAGGCTATACGGGGGATCTTTGTCTTTGCTGAGTGCAACCTTGGACACATTATGAAGTTAAGACACGGGGATTATGCGGCCGTGGTTCTGTGATCTTTCTTTTTACGCGAATACGGGACGAGGGTGGCCAGAGAAGCGGCAGGAGCCAATGGGAAATGAGTGGCGGCCCCGCTTCACCGCATGTGGAATTCGCGCCGGAGAAAATGTTGGATCAGGTGAAGTCGACACAAACCCCCACCCCACACGTGAAAATCTAGCTGCGCCTCTTGGAGATGGAAACGTAATTTGACGCCTTATATCGATATAACCATGTCACGTGGAAAGTTAAGTCGACATCGCTCGTGTCGCATACATAAGCCGGTGTTAATCCTGCCCTCAGTGGGGTCACTGCATCACTGCTGCTGTGACTTCACAGTCCTTTCTCTCGGTAAGAAAGCTTCACACTCACGTGGGATGGCCCGGGACACTCAGCCCAAACGTGCAGCTACAAGAGAAGAGGTGCTCGTTGTTTTATTTGGGTCCCGAATTCCTGTAAGAATGCGTTACCTGGGAGTGAGGGGAGAGACGGGGGGCGGGAGGGAGGGGTGGGTTTGCTGTGAAATCTGGACCCAGGTCTCCCCTGTGCCGTGTGGCCCTGGGTGGGGGATCATAGCGGACCTCCATGCCACCACCGCCAGCCCGTGCGCAGCCAAGCCAACTTCGATTTGAATACTGTGACAGGTGCACCGGGTGGGGACCGTGCAGCGATTGTGCGAACGGCTCGCTGGCCCCAGAGACAAGCCCTCTACTCTGATCCAGCCCTGAACTCCCGACGCTAACCTCGACAGTATTTCTGAGCCTTGCCCCTAGCCCTGAGCCTAGCCCTAAACCTAACTTTACCCTTAGAGACCTGGGTCTAACCCTGAGTCTAACCTTATCCCTAACCCTGAGCCTAGAAGCAACGTTATTGGTTGCCCTGAGCCTAACTCTGAAGATAACCCCCACACTAATCCTGAGCCTAGCTCTGAGCCTAACCTTACCCCTAAGCACGATCTTCACCCTTACCCTAACCCCGCTATACACCCTACAGGTGACCCCCTAAGCTTTGCTCTCACATGAAGCCTTGAACACACGCATAATTTCTTACCCAAACCCTGATCCCGAGTCTAACTCGAACCCTGAAAGTTTGCTGCCGCCATGTGCAAGTGCTGCATCTCATCGTTCGTCATTGTCTGTGTTGATGTTTTAGTGTTGTGTGGTGGGGGACAGAGGGAGGGGGTCATACCTGCCCCCCCAGGTTCGTTCCCCAGAGTTTAATGTCTGACTAAATATGTTACGGGTCACTGGTAGATTCGACGAGGTGCCACGTGACTAGTAGCCACAGCCATAGCGAGAGGAGGTATACTGGATGTGGTGTGCCAGATGCAGAAATATGGTGTTACCCTCCACTCCTCCTCAACTACTCCTCGATCACCACCACAATACTTGCTGTATACCTGCTTGCCTCTCGTCAGTACACAAGTACAAGCACATGTGTGCTTACAGACACGCACGTACACGTTGTGTGTATAAATAAGGTGCTTGCATTGAGGGGGGTTGGTGGGCCACGTGAGGACGGGAGTCCTTGACTGGCCCGCGACCGCCCTCCTTCCACTCGCAGTGGACCAAACCCCATGGTGCTATCAACTGACACAGGTGTGTTACCTGCAGAGTAGGCGAGAGTGATGTCCGATATGAACACGAGGCTCCACGCGGTGAGGGCCGAGATGGAATCGTGCTCACGGGGACCTGGGACTCCACAGAGATGTTACAATGACAATTATTATTTTAATAATAAATGAATTATAATTATTATTGATATATTAATGACGAAGGTGATGATGATGATGAAATAAATACTCATCGCGGAGATGGTGCCGGCTGCTGCCTGTGTCCTGTTTTAATGCTGTGCACAGCGAGAGAGATCGAGGCCGGTCGTGTTGGGGTTATGGCTAGTTGTAGGTAGTAAAGGAGTTGTTAATGTTGGAGCTGGAGGTAGCCTTAGTGTTTAGGATAGACGAAGGACTAGGTTTAGGGGGGGTGTATGGGATAGAAGTAGCATGGGTGTTTGGGGTAAGGGGGTGGTGTTCGGGATAGTCGGCTAGTAATAATTCTATTTTCGCAAACTGAAAAGTATGCTCAAGAGCTAAATGCCAATGTTGAGGACTGCTAGCCACGAGAGGGCTGCGGGAGAGAGAGTTCACATGTAGCGCTGCTGTTCCTCCTCAATTTAAGGAGCGCAGACTACAGTGGTTTGCTGTGTGATCTCGAGCTCGGGTTGCATGCCCACCATCACACTCCTGTGGCTTGTCTTTAATTTTCCATTCATGAAGATGTGGTCATCAGCCTGTTGATGTTCTGATGCAGCTGATCGTTACACCAGCGTCAGCAAAGAATGTCAAAGCCATGGGGTGCGATGTGTGTGTCTCGAATGAGGTGTTTATTTTGGACGTATGGGGTGTTTATTTTGGACGTCTGCGTTGTTCCACTCTGCCCGCCAGTGTTCTTCCAGATCTGGGTGAGATTTTAGGATGGTGACAGGGCGATTCAAGGGGAATCGGGACTTGAGTTGGCGGTGAGGAACATTGTTAAGGTCTTGCTTGATGTTTAAGTGGTTGTCGTTGGCAATAAAACGTGTAAACTACCTTGCAGTTTGCACGGCTTTGCGGATATTTGGTGGCAAAATGTTCGATAATGGTAGTTTAAGGGGTATATATAGGTGGTGCTATTGCTAAGGGAAGAGGCAGTGTTTGTGTTAGTTATAGAGGTGTGTTAGTAGTGTTCGGGCTTGAGTGTGGTTCCGGGGTATAGAGTAACAGCGTACTTGCACAGAGGCGTGTATCCTTACTCTGCAGGTGATAGACAGGGGGAGCTCTCACACAGGTGAGAAAGTGGTTGTTGATGATTTTGGTGATTATCACGATGGTATTCGGGAGGATGGTGAGGATGATGATGTTGATGGTATTAGGTGATGATATCGATGAAAAATATGCTATTTATTCAGATGATTATATTCGTGAGGATGGTGCTGAGAATATACGTTAAAATTATGATTAATACGACTGACTATGGTGATGGTATAAGTATTTTTTTACAGCGATGATTGATGTAGATGAGATGATCTCAAACTGCGGTCTGCGGACCACGCTCCATTCACGTGGTCCGCTGAGAGGTTTCATAACTAGGGAATGTAAGTGGCAGCGTGTTTATAGATCATATATATAGTACAGCCTTTTACATACCGATAGAAGATGGTTTAGTTATACCCTGACAACTTTTGAGACGTATGGTGTTGGAATCAATACAACTAATGTTCGATATTACGTTTAGCTCGATTACACACATTCTCGTAGCATAACTGATTCTGAGCTAATGACGACTCGGTTTATCCACCAGTGTCACATGGAAAGCATTCTACCAGAATGAAGTGCGTTTTCTAAAAAAAATGTAGTGAGTGCAGTGGGCTCGTATCGGCCCGTTCAACATCCAGAAATGTATGTGGCTGAAATGGGATCTTTTCAAACGACGGCAAATAATGTAGCCGGTGATGACACAGTGAAAAGTCCGAAGTCGAACGTGCGACTAGAGAAAGCGGATGTCCACCTGCAGAGGGCCTAAGTGAAGGTGCGGAGTGTTCTCGTTCCGTGGTCAGCGCTACGGTGCGCTACGAACCCGGCGACCCGAGTTCGATTCCCGCTCATGGCCAACACCGGTGACGATTATATGAGCCGGTCCTGGGCATCCCCTAGGTCGAATCAGCCTCAAATGAGTAGCTGGTGCGGTGTTTAAACATCGCCACTGGGGAGACAAAGGCGGCCAAGCGTGGTGCTGGCCACCCACCCCCTCCTGTACCGTGCCGGCCTTCATAGGTGCTACTCGCTAACAGCACTTGCCCCTACAGCCCGTTAAGGCTACACACGGGGGGATCTTTGTCTTTGGTAAGCAGCACGAGTGGCCGTGCCGGGAATGGAAGGGGGAGCGAAATGACCTCCCAAACAAAACAGAAAGAATATTCGACTCGAGCTTTGTGAACGCAACATTAAATGTAAACATTAAATGTAAAAGGCCGTGGAAAGTTCAAATCACGCCAGCCTCCGAATCGCAAAAACATGGAAGCAGCCACCACCACCACACGATGGACGAATAACCTCCTCTGCCTTGCAAGAACTTGTCTACAATGCGTGTAAAGAACCAGCGGAGGCTCGCGATGGACGCTGCTGCTGCTGCTGGGGCGTTGGAGGCAGTCGCCCTTTGGCAACAACAGAGGGCAGAGGAGCTACGCTCACGACAACGAGCCGAGCGCCGGGCGGATAAAACGCAGCGAGTTGGCACACGGTGGGTGCATCTGGGAGTCATCTCAGTCAGTCAACCCATGGCACCTGTCCCGTGGCCTCCTGCTAAGCGGGACTTCGACACTTCACGTGGTCTCAAAGTGCACCTGGCCTGGCACAAGCGCCGTTGTGACATCACCGCCACTTAATGGCAAAAGGCGGTGGTTGTTGTTTGTTGTTGACGGTGATGTTGGTGATGTCGGCGAGACTGATGTTGATGGTATTAGTGATGTCGGTGAGGAGGATGTTGATGGTATTAGTGATGTCGGTGAGGATGATGTTAATGGTATTCGTGATGTTGCTGAGGGTGATGATGTTTGGTGATGGTGAGTGTTATGGTGGACATCACCAAACTCACCCTCACCTTTCCCTCACCTGTGGGTTCCACCAAAATACGCAACGCGCATGCACAGTTTCTATTCAGACTTGGTAGTGCTGATAAGCGCCTCTGTTGGACACCAATTGCCAGTCTGGATACGCGGGCGACGCCCCGCCCCGTCCGCTGGTATGGGCGGGGCTCGGGTGGGGGAGGCGAGGCCCAAGCGCCGAGCTGCTCCAATAGGTGGCGTCGAGCTGCCAAGCGGGGGGAGGGGTCGTGGGGGGTTATAGCTACGCCAATCGGATTAGGAGAGCACGGCGGTGGGCGTGGCAATTGTGTGGACTCGTATCCAATCGGCGGCGTTAGGCGAGAGGAGGGGCGTGGTGGGGGGCGCGGCCCGGTCCACGGGGGAGAGGGGGTGTTGGGGGATGATGCGGGGGGGGGGGGCTGTCAGTGGGAGCGGAGCGGGCAACGCGGACCCCGGCTCCAAGCCGCGCTCTCGCTCGCAACATTCGCGGGGGGCCACCGTGCTGCTGTGCTGGGGGGCACGGGACCTGGTTGACATTGTTTGGAGCGGCGGCCGGGGAGGGGGGGGGACGCCTTGCCTTGCCTGTGGTGGTGGGAGGAGGAGGGAGGGCGAGCGCGAAGCGGGGGGCAGGAGACCCGATACCCCCGGGGTTGTAATAGGGGTCTGGGGGGTGTTGTCAGAGTTGAGTCTCCGGCGACGCGAAAGCGGAGATCGCGGGGGGGGGGGCGGGGGGGCTCTCCTCTTCTCCTCTTCTCCGCGCCTCGCTCCGCCCCCCGCGCACGTGCGGCGCGGCCGGGCGAAGTCGGCGGCAGCGGCGGCAGTGGCAGCGGCGGCATCAGCGGCAGCGGTGCCGCGGACATCATCATCGTGACCATCACCATTGCTAACTCCATCACTCTCAGCATCACCTCCCCCATCGCCGACATTACAAATAACATCACCATCGCGACAACTATCACCACTGCCACCATCATCATCATTGTTGACACGCGCAACAACATCACCACCACACTCATCGCTCCCATCACCTCCATCATCCCCATCATTGACGCACGCACCACCACCACCATCATCATCGCCATCGCCCGCGGCGCCGGCGGCTTGGCGATGTCCCGGCGCAAGCAGCGCAACCCGCGCCAGATCAAGCGCGGTCGACCCGGAGCCCTGGCGGGTGAGTGACAGAGTGAGTGAGTGACAGAGTGAGCGAGTGACAGAGTGAGCGAGTGACAGAGTGAGCGAGTGACAGAGTGAGCGAGTGAGTGACAGTGAGGGAGTGACAGTGAGGGAGTGAGTGACAGTGAGTGAGCGAGTGACAGAGTGAGCGAGTGAGTGACAGTGAGGGAGTGACAGAGTGAGCGAGAGAGTGAGTGACAGGGTGACAGAGTGAGCGAGTGACAGAGCGAGTGAGTGAGTGAGTGACAGAGTGAGCGAGTGACAGAGCGAGCGAGTGAGTGAGCGGGTGAGTGACAGAGCAAGTGAGTGAGTGACAGAGCGAGTGAGTGACAGTGAGCGAGTGAGTGACAGAGTGAGCGAGTGAGTGACAGTGAGGGAGTGACAGAGTGAGTGACAGAGTGAGCGAGTGACAGAGTGAGCGAGTGAGTGACAGTGAGGGAGTGAGTGACAGTGAGGGAGTGAGTGACAGTGAGGGAGTGAGTGACAGTGAGGGAGTGACAGAGTGAGCGAGAGAGTGAGTGACAGGGTGACAGAGTGAGCGAGTGACAGAGCGAGTGAGTGAGTGACAGAGTGAGCGAGTGACAGAGCGAGCGAGTGAGTGAGCGGGTGAGTGACAGAGCAAGTGAGTGAGTGACAGAGCGAGTGAGTGACAGTGAGCGAGTGAGTGACAGAGTGAGCGAGTGAATGAGCGAGTGAGTGACAGAGCGACAGAGTGAGCGACAGTGAGCGAGTGAGTGACAGAGTGAGCGAGTGAGTGAGTGACAGAGCGAGTGAGTGACAGAGCGAGTGAGTGACAGAGTGAGTGAGTGACAGAGTGAGCGAGTAAGTGAGTGACAGAGTTAGCGAGTGAGTGACAGAGTGAGCGAGTGAGTGAGTGACAGAGTTAGCGAGTGAGTGAGTGACAGAGTGAGCGAGTGAGTGACAGAGTGAGTGAGCGAGTGAGTGACAGAGCGACAGAGTGAGTGACAGAGTGAGCGACAGAGTGAGTGACAGAGTGAGCGAGTGAGTGACAGTGACAGAGTGACAGTGAGCGAGTGACAGAGTGAGCGAGTGAGTGACAGAGTGAGCGAGTGAGTGACAGTGAGCGACAGTGAGCGAGTGACAGAGTGGCAGTGAGCGAGTGAGTGACAGAGTGAGCGAGTGAGTGACAGAGTGAGCGAGTGAGTGACAGAGTGACAGAGTGAGCGACAGTGAGCGAGTGAGTGACAGTGAGCGAGTGAGTGACAGAGTGAGCGAGTGAGTGACAGTGAGCGACAGTGAGCGAGTGACAGAGTGAGTGACAGAGTTTGTGGCAGTGAGCGAGTGAGTGACAGAGTGAGCGAGTGAGTGACAGAGTGACAGAGTGAGCGACAGTGAGCGAGTGAGTGACAGAGTGAGCGAGTGAGTGAGTGACTCGGTGAGTAACGTGGCACACAGGTGAGTGAGCGGTGCTGGCAAGCGAGTGACGCGGTGAGTGGTATGTTGTGAGTAGGTTACTGACTTGGGGAGTGAGAGAATTGGTGAGTAAGTGGTCAGTGTGTTAGTTTGTGACTTGGTGAGCTGTCGTCGTGAGTAACTTTCCTGGTGAGTGATGAGGTAAATGAGTGTGTTGATGAGTGAGTGTTGGTGAGCGAGTGACTGGGAAGAGTACTTGGTGAGTGAGAGAATTGGTGAGTGACGTGGTGAGTGAGTGTATGTGAGCGAGTGACTTGGTGGTTGAGTTTGGGAGTGAGTGCCACCGTGAGTGTAGTTGGTGAACGGGTGTCTAGCACGGATGGTTGTTTCACAGAGTTGGTGACGACAGGGTGAGTGTGCCAGCGAATGACGGGGGTCGTCAGTGTGTGAATGAATGAAGAGCGAGCAGGCGAGTGGTTGATTTGGCGGTCTACCAGCGACTTGGGGTGAGTGCGTACACGGACGGGTGAGTGAGTGAATGAATGAGTCGTGGAGCTTGTGAGTGAGAGGGTGAGTGAATGAGTTGATGAGTTTGTGAGTGAGAGGGTGAGTGAGTGAATGAGTTGATGAGTTTGTGAGTGAGAGGGTGAGTGAGTGAATTAGTTGATGAACTTGTGAGTGAGAGGGTGAGTGAGTGAATGAGTTGATGAGTTTGTGAGTGAGAGGGTGAGTGAGTGAATGAGTCGATGAGCTTGTGAGTGAGAGGGTGAGTGAGTGAATGAGTTGATGAGTTTGTGAGTGAGAGGGTGACTGAGTGAATAAGTTGATGAACTTGTGAGTGAGAGGATGAGTGAGTGAATGAGTTGATGAGTTTGTGAGTGAGAGGGTGACTGAGTTAATGAGTTGATGAGTTTGTGAGTGAAAGGGTGAGTGAGTGAATGAGTCAATGAGCTTGTGAGTGAGAGGGTGAGTGAATGAGTATGAGCTTGTGAGTGAGAGAGTGAGTGAATGAGTCTATGAGCTTGTGAGTGAGAGGGTGAGTGAGTGAATGAGTCTATGAGCTTGCCAATGAGAGGGTGAGTGAGTGAATGAGTCTATGAGCTTGTGAGTGACAGGGTGAGTGAGTGGATGAGTTGATGAGTTTGTGAGTGACAGGGTGAGTGAGTGAATGAGTTTGTGAGAGAGAGGGTGAGTGAGTGAATGAGTTGATGAGTTTTGAGTGACAGGGTGAGTGAGTGAATGAGTTGATGAGTTTTGAGTGAGAGGGTGAGTGAGTGAATGAGTTGAGTTTTGAGTGACAGGGTGAGTGAGTGAGTGAATGCCCTGGTGCGAGAGTTCGGCAACCAACATAATAAGAGTAGACATATTTTAGTTCTAATTCGATGAAGAAGAAAAAAACCCCGCGACATTTCAAGAGCCGCAATGCCATGTGGACACGAGACGGCTGTCCTTGATAATTCACGTCGCGATGCAGCAGTCCTTCAAGAGCCGCATGCCTCTCCGGAGCAGCAGGTTGATGACCCCAGCGGGAGATGGGGGGCCAGTGGGTGGGTCAACGTGAACGAGTGAGTACAAGCGGTTGTAGGTGGGCGAGTGAGGAGGGCGAGTGCGGTGAGCTGGTGAGCGAAAGGGTGCGTGGGTGAGTTAGTTGGGAGGTGAGTTGGTGAATGGTCGTGTTTCTCCAGAGTTGTAACGTTGTGCGTGCGCCTGTGAGCGACTCACGCGGGGACACAGGGAGGGAGACGCGGGGATTCAGATGTTCACGAGGACACATTGAGACAGACTCACGGAGACGCGGGGATTCAGATGTTCACGAGGACACATTGAGACAGACTCACGGAGACGCGGGGATTCAGATGTTCATGAGGACACATTGAGACAGACTCACGGAGACGCGGGGATTCAGATGTTCACGAGGACACATTGAGACAGACTCACGGAGACGCGGGGATTCAGATGTTCACGAGGACACATTGAGACAGACTCACGGAGACGCGGGGATTCAGATGTTCATGAAGACGCGTTGAAACAGACTCAGGGAGAACGGCGCGTGGGGACACATTGTACACATTGACAGCGCGAGATGCGTGCGTGTCTCACGCGGCCGAATGACCTCTGCGTGTGTGATGTGTGGGTGATGTGTGGGTGATGTGTGTGTGTGTGATGTGTGGGTAATGTGTGGGTGATGTGTGTGTGTGATGTGTGGGAGACGTGTGTGTGATGTGTGGGTGATGTGTGTTATGTGTGTGTGATGTGTGTGTATGATGTGTGTGTGATGTGTGGGTGATGTGTGCGTGATGTGTGTGTGTGTATGTGTGTGTATGATGTGTGTTTGATGTGTGTGTGATGTGTGGGTGATGTGTGCGTGATGTGTGTGTGTGTGATGTGTGTGCGTGATGTGTGTGTGTGTGATGTGTATGTGTGATGTGTGGGTGACGTGTGTGTGATGTGTGTGTATGATGTGTGGGTGATGTGTGTCTGATGTGTGGGTGATGTGTGGGTGATGTGTGGGTGATGTGTGTGATGTGTGTGTGATGTATGACTGATGTGTGTGTGTGATGTGTGTGTGATGTGTGTGTGATGTGTGGGTGATGTGTATGTGTGTGTGTGATGTATGGGTGACGATTGTCTGAACCGGTCCTGGACCTCCTCTCGGTCGACAAATGAGTAGCTGGTGTGGTGTAAAAACATCGCCACTGGGGAGACAAAGACGGTCGGGCGTGGTGTTGGCCATCCACCCCCTCGTGTGCCGTGCCGGCCTTCATAGGTGCTTGCTAATAGCACTTGCCCCAACAGTCTGCAAAGGCTATACGGGGGATCATTGTTCTTTGTTTGTGTGATGTGTGTATGACCACACTGCGCGGTTGAAGTGTGCGTGGGTGATATGTGTATGATGAGTGGGTGACTACACGATGTGTGTGATGTGTGTGTGACCACACTGTGTATGATGTGTGTGACCGCGTGTGTGATGTGTGGGTGACCGCACTATGTGTGTGGTGTGTGGGTAATGTGTGTGTGTGGTGTGTGTATGATGTGTGTTCAAACACCAAATATATAACTTTCATTGCCAGAAAGTGTAAAACCTATTTTTATTTTTCATAATTGTTTGATCCTGGCAAAAAGGTCCCATAGATATGATGGTGAGCGGTAGTCTAGTGGTTAGCGCCACGCTGCGCTATGAACCCGGCGACCCGAGTTCGATTCCCGCTCACGGCCAACACCGGTGACGATTATCCGAACCGGGTCTGGGTCTCCCCTAGGTCGACTCAGCCTCAAATGAGTACCTGGTGCGGTGTGTAAACATCGCCACTGGGGAGACAAAGGCGGCCGTGCGTGGTGCTGGCCACCCACCCCGTCGTGTGCCGTTCTGGCCTTCATAGGTGCTCGCTAACAGCACTTGGCCCAACATTGCTATAGGCTATACGGGGGATCTTTGTCTTTGTTGTGTGCTGTGGGTCTGACTACCCCATCACTGTCAGCTTGATGGGACTGCGGTAATTAGGCACGGGAGTTCTTCGTCTTCCTGATGATGTTGGTGGTGGTGGCAGGAGGAGGCGCGGGGGGGGGGGTAAGGCCGGGCTCTCTGCGTGGGATGTGCAAATCGGGAGGTGCACAAAGTGTCGG